ATTAGGATTTAAAACTACTGAACACTGAAGATTTTGTTAAACTTCAAAACGGTACAAAACACTAATAACCATGTACAGGACACTCGTGTTGCCCCAGCTCGCCTTCTCCAGAGCCTCTCAGTGTGCCTCATGAGAGGAAACGCCACTATGATTGTCAGTCGGGCCATCTAGTCTTGTGCGGTTTATTACGTTTTTGCCTTCCCAATTCTGGTGCTCCTTTGTTCCTTTGCTGTTAGTGCATTCCCCCTCTCTTTTCAATCCTCAATGGTTCATCCCACATTTGTTGTTTGTTTTGTATTCGGTGTTTGTTTGTATTTTATTAACCTTACGATGGACATAGTTGTATTTTGCTATTATGATTTTTCAATTTGTATTTCAATTCAAAATTCAAGTGTCTTGTACAGGACACTGAATTTGTATAGTTTTTTAAATAGTCCCAATACAACTTTAATAGTCTGAAGGTAAGCAATCGGCAATCCCGGAAACGATCTTTCTGTTGACCAAGCTTACAAGTCTCTGATTCCGATACCAGAGTTTTTTTCTTAGCTGTTTCTTCCTTATCAACTGGAGATTGAAGTCATAATTTCGTCCCGGCATGAGAATTTGATATAGCAATCCCAGTCTAAGCTGTATTGATTGCTGACAATTTTAAAGACAATTAAGATACCATTGCGTTCGAAATAGAAAGAGAAGCAGGAGATTTAACTTCCAAAGTTTTTCCAGGTAGTTTGTAATCGGAAAGTTCCACAGCCCAGTTAACCGTTTTCTTTGGGTATTTTTTAACTTGGTTAATCCAGTATTAGATGCAAACCAGGTTGTACTGCCATACCATAGAATGGAAGAACCATGGATTTGATAATCTTGATTGATTTTCGTTAGTAGTTTTTTTGTTAGGAAACGCTTGAGAAAGAACAAAACTTCGCTGGTTTGGCTGCTGCTAAGTGGATGTGATCAGACTATTTGAAAATACTTGTTATCTTGATCCCCAAACTTTATTTTGCAATTGGAAGATGTTTTTTCATCTGCGCTCAGGTAGAAAGGTCCACAGCTATTGGAAATAAATTGCAAGAGAGAACATTTTTCGATGTTCAAGGTCCATACTCTAATCCCAAAAGGGAGTCAAGCTCAGATTGTAGGTAGCAATGTCTAACCGGGTTGTGCATTGATAGTAGTTTAGAAATGTCTGCAAAACTAAAATAATTTCAAGGACGATCTTTGGGGATTTCAATAAATACGATAAAAACAGCGGATAAAATCAAATCGGATCAATCCTGCATCAAATTAATTAACATTTACACGCCCTTTCACTTACGCTTCTCTTCGGGATACATGTCATCAATCAGCTCACTTTTAAACACGGAGGACGCCATCATTTTTGGCGATCTCAATACATTCTATTCACTCTGTTTCTCGAGCTTAAACGAAAATGTTAGAGGAACCAATGTTTTCAAGGAAATTGATGACTCCAATTTTTTTTACAGAAATGAATTGCAGACGATGGGAACACAGTTTGAATTTTGAAAAGCCTGCGAACAGTTCTTGACAACATTATCATACACAAATATTATGGATATCATGTATAGGCATCGAAATGCCAGCTCATTGAAAAAGATGAAAAATACAACGAAGCGATCAAAGTATTCAAAAGTACCGAAATTAAAATGAAGAAACGGGCCAGAGTACTTGGTTTTGTCATAGGATCTGAGACTGAATGTAAAAGTTTCTTTGAAAACATCGCCGCAAAACGTGTACTCCTGTCACACCAAACTGGTACAAAAATATCATTTTTAGCTAGAACTACCCTCAATGCCACTGAAAACATGCAGGCCTCCGAGAATATACGGTAGGAAAATCTCATTCCAAATTTAGTTTATAAAGATAATATTAGCCATCAACTTAAAAACATAGATTCTTTGCCACTGAAAATGGGCGGTTTAAATGTCAAACTGCCTTCTTACTATGAGAACTTCTTAGAATGGTCAATTAAAACATCGTCAGTCTTAATAACTATATCTGAGCTAGAAAATATCTATACAAAAATGTAAACACTTAAAACTGACAGAACAAACCAATGGAGAAGTAACATTTTGAACAATTTGAGTGACAGTGAAAAGTACGCTTATGAGCCAGCCTCCGAAAAAAAGGAGCCTCAAACTGGTTAAACGCACTGCCACTTAGCAGATATAATTCAACCTCAATAAATCCGAATTCCGGGATGAAATTCATCTCAGATATGGATGGTAACCAACCAACGTTCCACTCACATGTGCATGTGGTCAATCTGTCGACTATACCCACGCCCTTCACTGTGCGAAGGGTGGATACACCCACATAAGGCATGAAAAAATGAGAGATACCTTTGCCAATCTCATGAGCGAGGTTTGCTATGATGTTGAAATCGAGCCGAAACTTCAGTCGGTGCAAGGCGAGAGCATTGTGAACAATCCAACCACAACTGATGAAGTCGCTCGATTAGATGTAAAAGCACACGGATTATAGGGGCTCAAGGTTTAGCCGAACTTGTCAAAATCTTCAACCCGCACGCAAAAACTTCACTAAGATTACTGAAAGACGCCTATAAGTACCACGAATCACTAAAAAAAATCAAATTACCAACATATTTGTACAAGTCGAACAGAGCAGCTTCTGCCCGCTCCTTTTTGACTGCACCGGTGGTGCCGCACCGGGAGCTACGCAGGCAATGCAGCGCATAGCTGAAAAACTTAGTGAAAAAGGCACGAAAGCTACTCAGGAACAATAAACTATATAAGAACTAAGATAAGCTTCGCGCTGCTCAGGAGCGCTATCTTTTGTATGCGGAGGTGCAGATCACTGCGTAAGACACAATTCATAGACAATTCAATTAGTGCTATTATAGAGAAGGGACGGTTGAAGTAAATATCTTTAATGAAAACGCCTTCAATGCTGACTTGACTTAATTCCTGCAATATTGTTTTTTGATGTATTTATATAATGCTGGTATGGGCCCTATCTAGCTTGTGCACGACCGTACCTAAACAGAAGGGCCCCTTTTATAATTTCACTTTTTTTTAAGACGGACTAATTTGCAACAATAAAACCTGTAGTCTGTAATTAATTAACTTTTACACGCCCTTACGCTGCTTTTCGGGATACGTCTCATCAATCAGCTCACTTTTAAACACGGAAGACGCCATCATTTTTGGCGATCTCAATACATACTATTCACTCGGTTTCTCGAGCTTAAACGAAAATGTTAGAGGAACCAATATTTTCGAGGAAATTGACGACTGCAATTTTTTACAGAAATGAATTGCAGACGATGGGAACACAGTTTGAAATTTGAAAAGCCTGCGAACAGTTTTTGACAACATTATCATTCTCAAATATTATGGATGTCATGTAAAGGCATCGAAATGCCGGCTCATTGTAAATGATGAAAAATACAACGAAGCGATCAAAGTATTCAAAACTACCGAAATTAAAATCAAGAAACGCGCCAGAGTACTTGGTTTTGTCATAGGATCCGAGACTGAATGTAAAACTTTCTTAGAAAACATCACCGCAAATCGTGTACTCCGCCCACACCAAATTGGTACATAAAAAATCATTTTTAGCCAGTACTACCCTCAATGCCGCTGAAAACATGCAGGCCTTCGAGAATATACGGTAGGAAAATCTCATTCCAAATTTAGTTTATAAAGATAATATTAGCCAGCAACTTAAAAACATCGCTTCTTTGCCACTGAAAACGGGCGGTTTAAATATCAAAGTACCCTCCTACTATGAAAACTTCTTAGAACGGTCAACTAAAACATCGTCAGTCTTAACAGCTATATCTGAGCAAGAAAATATCTATACAAAATGTAAACACTTAAAACTGACAAAACAAACCAATGGAGAAGTAACACTTTGAACAACTTGAGTGACTATGAAAAATACGCTTATGAGCTAGCCTCCGAAAAAAAGGAGCCTCAAACTGGTTAAACGCACTGCCACTTTAGATATAATTTCAACCTCAATAAATCCGAATTCCGGGATGAAATTCATCTCAGATATGGATGGGAACCATCCAATGTTCCACTCAATGTGCATATGGTCAATATGTCGATTTTACCCACGCCCTTCACTGTGCGATTGGTGGATGCACCCTTATAAAGCATGAAAGAATGAGAGATACCTTTGCCAATCTCATGAGCGAGGTTTGCTATGATGTTGAAATCGAGCCGAAACTTCAGTCGTTGCAAGGCGAGAGCTTTGTGAACAAATCAACCACAACTGACGAAGACGCTCGATTAGATGTAAAAGCATACGGATTATAGGGGCTCAAGGCTTAGCCGAACTTGTCAAAATCTTCAACCCGCACGCAAACACTTCACTAAGACTACTGAAAGACGCCTATAAGTACCACGAATCACTAAAAAACTCAAATTACCAACAGAATTGTACAAGTCGAACAGAGCAGCTTGCGTTCTGGAGTCTTGAGTACCTTCTTCGCATCTTCCAGTCAAAATCCCAGCAATATTCTGCATATGGAAGTGACTACCCCCAATTTACACACCCATACACTACTTCTCTAACCCCAATTGACTTGTGGCTATGGCCGACTGAAGTCGCAAATTTTCTAGGGCTCGATTTGAGCATGCAGGACGCTTCACCTGAGGACTAACAACAACATGAAATCAGCGTCTACAATTTTGCAGTTTTTCAGATTTGATTGTTATCCTACTTGTTCTCAGCTCGTTTGCATTTTTACCTTTGTTCGTACTAGCATTGTTTAAACCAGAGCGGTCGCTTGTCGTTGTCTGAGTATCTCCACTCATAATTTATCTCTATCTCTTAATCGCAACAAGTAGGCTAACAAGATGTTTCACCCTATCAGAAAATTACTTTTCGGATGAGTGGTCAGCTTTATGGCATTTGTGTGAGTGAACCCCGGTTTTCGGGCGAATACTCCTAATTTTAAATTTCGATTGAGTGAACCGGAACCGTTTGTTTAAAAAGATGTCAATTTTTAGAAGAAAATGGCTGTTAAATACAAAAACGCGCGGATTTTGACCTTCGTGATGGCATTTGTATGCGCACTTCTGGGTGTGGCCTTATTTGTCACGTCGATAACTTTCCTCACTTATCCAAATTTTATCGAGTGGTACATCCAGATTACCAAAGTGGAAATCGTCTGCCGTATAGCGATTGGACTGTCGGTTCTGATTTTTGTCGCTGGAGCCGTTAATTTGGCTGCTACTTTTCGGGTTAGTCAATTAAAATGAGTTTTTTAAGCTGTTCTCTGACTTGATGTAAATAATGAGTAGCAGTTCAATGTAAATAGTTAATTCTTTTATTGATAGGAGGATCTCACACTCATCAAAGTTTCCATTGCTCTGATGGTTATCGCTTTTGTACTGAATGCGATCTGCATCATCGTTGCCTTCGTCATGGAGTTTAGAGCTCAGGAGGACGTGAGCGATCAAATTTACGCAAAAATGCGAAAATATGGACAGGAGGAATTCCAAATGGCTACCGATACCTGGGATTTTTTCCAGAAGACCCGGCAATGTTGTGGGTCAGATGGCCCTGGTGACTGGAAGTTTACCCCTTTTTACGAGGATGGCAACCAAGATCAACTGATTCCGCGGAGTTGCTGCAAAGCGTATGCAACCACCACGCCGGTTGAACCTTCCTGTCAGAAAATGTCAGACCCTTCTCTGTATTACACTGAAGGTTGTCGGAGCTCAGTAAATGAACTGTTATGGGCGTTCATTGGTGTTATTGTAGTTGTTTTGGCTATTTGTAGCGTCTGCGAGATCGTAGGATCCATCTCGTCGTGGATGCTGGTTAAAGAACTTTCGAAAGACGATGAGCCCTATGAATTCAATCCCCCTCCGACCACAGCGCCGAAAGTGAACAATTACTCTGGAACTTTGAGGTCGCAATTTAGTGGAGTGGGTAGTGAATCCAGTCACAGGCCACGCCCACAACCTGAACACAGGGTCGAAGCTCCTATCTCCGAGACTGGAAGTGTGCGAAGCGGAAGAAGTGGTCGAAGTGGGCCAAGGTCTGAGGATGGGCGCGGTGGCTTCACCCGAAACCACCATAATTTTATAAATCAACAGCCTAAATTCAATCAACAAACGTCAGTGGCATCGCGACAAGAGGGAGAAGATCGACCTCAATTGCCGCCTCCTCCCCCACCACCACTGGTTCGGTACAGTCCAGTGCCAGCTGATGACAACGAAGACTTCGATGTTTAGCTTAGAACTGAATCAAGCTTAACTCCTTCATTTCTATACTTTTTTTCTAGTTTCTTATTTGAAAGCATATCTGTCACCAGCAACATTTCAAACTATGCATATCAGTGAACGTTTCAATGATCCATTTTCAAGTTCACAAAATTTGTAAAAAATAGTTGTGCGTTTCTCTTATATAATTTACTCTTTCATTGATCTGTAAATTACTGAAAATTACATCGATATGTATAAGAGAGCGCATATTTTAGACTTAAGTTGGTGTAAAGTGAAAGCTTAAAAGTATGCACAAATTTAAATCTACCTTTTCACATAAATTAAAACATAACTGCACGTTTTTGTTCATTTTTCTGTAAATACATTTCTGAGCAATTGTTTAAAAAATTAATTGTTTCTCTTAACTCAGTTTTATTTTTTAGTTCTGTCTTGATAGACTCCTGACAAGAACACAATCTTCCAGATGAATTTAGCATGCGTCTCTCAATCCTTGCTGCAAAGAATCTTAAAGTATGCTGAAGAAAAAAAATGAGATTAATAATTTATAACAGTCTGAGGCGAGGGATTTAGGGAGCGTATCCTAAATACCGTGGTGGGGTTGGATGGTTCATGTCCAAGTTGAAGACCTAATTTTTTCTTGAGGCTGTCCTGGTGTTGTAAGACAGAAAATATACATTACATTTGGTTAATTTTCGCCGGTCTTTTTGTTTGCGAGAGCAAGTGACTTCTTCATTTGTAAGAAACTGAACTTGCTTTAGTATTGAACCTCAACTACTTCTAGGCTCATTCCCCCTTGGTCTAATGGTAAAGCGGGTGTTTTGAACTTAAAGGTATAAAGCTCGAATCCTGGACGGCTTTTTTTTCAACCTAAGTCTTAAATATTGTTGCGACGCAAACATTGTTACGACAGAATGTCTTCATTTTGATCAAGAACCAGCCAATTAAGTACAGCCAATGCTAAGGATATTAACGCACTATTATATTACAAGTAGCAGTTTAGCTGCAATGTATCATAGATCTGTAGCGTAGAGGTAGGGAAGGATGCCCACAGGAAAATAAGAGGGTTCGAACCTCGGCAGGTTCGTCGGATATTTCTAATGAACTTTTTCGTATACTAGTTGAAATGCGTCCACTCCATAAATTGAGGCATGTTAATTGATAAATTTATGTTTCGCAAATTGACTGGTACTGCTAATGCGTCATAATTGCGTCACTAAGCAATCATGTAGACTCATAATTGGCATGCGTCACTTGAGAAGTTTTGTAGACTCAAAGTTTAACTCATTCAGTTTTTCCTAGTAGCGTTATCGATCATATTTTTGCTCATGTATGCGAAGTGCAACTTAGCCTGTGTGTTATATTTGATATGTATGAAATGATATGCTTGAATTTTGTGAAAACTTTCCGACTTTTGATTTTTTTGGACCGTTGAGTGTCTGCTTATTTTTTGTCGGTTTAGTTTCTTATGTATGCAATTTTCATCTGATTGAACAATTTTTTCTCTAATCGAAAGTCGCTGTATGATTTGTAAGTTAACCAACTCTGATTCTGAATATATATAATAAAGTGGTTCATGCGAATCGGAGTGGAGCTATCAGTAGGCCGTAGCAGGCCTGTCGTAGGATAGTCCATTTACATTATCTACCCACATTTCAGACTTCTGTTTGGTTGAGCGGCATTTTTTGCGACTCAAGGTCGTTTTTTTTGCGTCTAGAACTTTCACGACGTAGCACTATTGCAGCCGAAATTGGTCAGGCTGAGGTAAACCTGAAGCTAGGTCACACACTATCTATGCCATGGCATGGGATTGACTACACGATCTGACTACTTCAAAGTGAACGCCTTACCACTATGCTAAGTGCCTCTTAAATAATTTCCCTTTTATTCTTTTTTGGTCAAAAGGCTTAAGCTTATTTTTCATAGCCTTAGTCGCTGTGTCGTTTGAATAGCAAAATATATGTTAACCATTTGTTTCAGGTGTGGCTGGACGTCTTCGTTTCAAAAACCTAACTCTTCAAACATTGTTAACTAGAATTTACAGGAATTTTTTTTGGTAAGCTCAACGGGCGTCTTACCTAGTGTTTAGTGCTAATTCTCCACTCGGTAACTGATTCTGAATGCTTAATTGATGCTGTTGATTGCTTTTGGTTTTATTTTTAAGAATCCTTAATAGGTCGTTATGATTCTTTTTTTTTTCAGGAACAGTCTTAAAATTCAATCAAGCTCAAATTTACTTTTTCAAATTCAGTTCGTTTTTCAAAGGTTAATTGAAGTTAAGGCTCAAAGATCAAAAGAATCAAAAAAATTAGTTGTAAATCATCATTCAATTCAAAGTTTCACGTCAAAAGAGCCTTTGCTTAAATTGAAGCGCAAAAAAAGTATGCATTGAGTCATAAGTCATTTCAAATTTTCAAGGCAAGAGACAATTTATTAAATTTGAAGCTCACAGAGAAAATCAAAAAGTAGGTATCAAGCATAAGTCAGATCGGAGTTTAAAGTGAACAGAGCTTTTTCTGATTAAGTCAGAGAAAAGCAAAAAAGTGGCATCAATTCATGATTGAATTCAAAACTTCAAGAAAAAATGACCACTTTCTTAACTTGAAGGACGCTTTTTATGTGTTGAAGAGTGCAAAAGACACCGGATAAGAAAGCAGTTCTTAGGATTAATCAAATGTTTTGGAACAATTTGTGACTTAACTTAGCGGTTAAGGTTGAACATACATCGCTATTCTGCTAAAAAAAATTAAAAAAGAGTTTTAACATTTCTTAGTGTCTTAAGGACTCGTATATTAAATAATATGAGAAGTCTGCCTGAAGTCAACCAGATTTTACAACTAAATTTAACATTAATAGCCCCAATTTCTATTTGGAGACGTATCTGGGAAGGCAAGCTCTTCTTGCCATCTGAAAACACCATTCGGGTCAGACTCGTAATGGGAAGATTCTTCATGAGACACCTGAAAACGGGCCATGTTGGCTTAATGGTGTTCTCCCAAACGATTCTAATTTGTGTTTATAAATTTTTATAAATAATTTTGTAACTAGATATCGTTTGGAAACAATTTATTATAATTATATTATGTTCTGAAGAGAAGTATCAAGCTTGTTTTCGAACTGCTTTTGTTCCTGTGTTAAACAGAATAATCGTAAAGCAGTGCTGGGAAGAATTTCAATTATTTTTCGCACAACGCTTTTATAAAAAGTGATCTTTTCAAAATTGTTTGGCCGCAACAGATGCATATTTTTTAAATCCAAAGAACAGGAAACAACAGCAAATTACTCAAAAATACCTACCATCAATGAGTGCGGAACTAACAGACGATGTGTAGTTTTCAGGTATTTTGTGTTTTTTGGTCTTGCTTTCTTCAGTCGACAACTCTTAATTGAACTTGATATAAAATATAACCGTAAAACGTCATAATTTTTCTAGTCAAACGCACAAACCATCAATGGGGGCGGAGGCACCAGACGGTGATGTCTTTTGGGTTCGTAATTTTCAATTGGCTTGTGTTCTAAATTCGACAAATCCAAATTGGTCTTTTTAAAAAAATTATTCCGCAACAAAAGGTCATAGTTATCTAAATAAAACAAAAATTGCTCAGCAAAAGAATTCTAAAAATACTAGCCGTGATTAGAATTAGATGTAGGCTCTGAATATGAAGATGAAACTGACATCCATCTTGCTGCGCGTCTGTTCGCAGTTGGGGTTTCTTTTTCCTGATGACGACTGCATCTCTGTGTTGCTGTCCCCGCGTTTTTGCCAACTGAGCCGGCCGTTTCTGACGCTTTGATTTTTCGTTCGCTTGTCTTTTCACCCTTTTTTGACCAATTTGCCTCTGCTTCGTTGCTTGTCGTCATGTTGATGGTGTCAGCGGAATGCAATGCTCCGTTTTTTTTTCGTTCAAGGAAGGGCCCATCCAGTGGTTGATTGGAAGGTGATTGCAGTCTGAGATGAGAAACACGATGTTTAGCATAGTGCTATTACAGCAGGCAAAGCCTCTCTATGGTTCCGCGAAAGTTTCGGAGCCAACTTTTCGCGAAAGGAAGCAGCTCTTTCCTTCTGACAGTCTTTCATGGCATCGGATAGTTTCTGGGCTTTCGCAAAAATTCCTTCGAAACTGTCATATCTTGCCTAAAAATAAGATCCTTGAATTATTCTATACTGCGGCACTCCTTCTTTGGTGGCATTTTTAAAAACTGGAGAATGGAGAAAAATAAATTTTGTAAAATTTGAGATTATGCGTACCTGTTAGGCGTCCGCCATTGGAGGAAGGTTGGTCTGTGGTATGAGTAGGGGTATTTTCCAGAACATTTGAACCATTGGGGTGGTAAACACTGCTCGTAGTTCTTTGTTGTACTAGACCTTAGCCAGTCGCCCCAGCTTGAAGTTATTGCCAGCTGAGCATTGTTCAAGTAAAAAATGCCCGGAAAATTAAGTTTAAAAAAAGACTTTCTAGTTGAATGAAGCTTTAATTCGCTAGATAAGGTTTGTTGGCTTCGTCCAATAAACTCTGAATATTAAATTGAAAAGAGTATGTATTTCAGCATCCCATGTGAAAAAATTATGTAATTTAATTTATGTAATTTAATTTCCCATGTATTTTTGAATCCAAATTTCCCATTTTTTTTGGATTTTCTGCAGCAATTATAACAAGTTTTGGATGAAATGCTTGCGTATAAATGAAATTTGCGCTTTCGATAAATCTAACTCAATTTGAGAAAACTGGATAATCAGAGAAGTTTTTAATGCTCTAAAAATCTTTGAAAGGCCTTTTTTCGCAACCAAAAAACAAAATGGTTTTTTTTTCACGTCATCTGCGATTTTTCATTAAAGAGCGTGATATGCAAAATTTCTACTTTAAATTTTCTATTCTGAACATAAATGAAAAAAGAGCCTATTTTGAAAAATTCGTCTATTAGTAAATAATGAGTGTCAACAATTTGTAGCATGACCAACGGATAAGATACCATTCCGAACGATGCCTCGTTCTAAAGGCGGTTAATCAATCAAAGCAAAAACAGAGCGTCGGTTTAAATTTAAAAACGTCAAACTTTTCGCTGCACAGTTTCGAACAAAAATTACTTTGCTAACCACTTGGCCTTCAAATTGAAACTCAAACTTCA